AGGCTGCGCAATGTAATTGAAAGAAGATTTAGGAACTCAAAGAACGGTGGCATATTCTTGAACGGGTTCCTTACTTTCCGAGGAAAAAGCAAGCGATGATTATCATATCATGCTTTGCAATGGATAATTATTTGTGGCTGCATAAGTATGGACATAATGCACCGTCGTATGAGCTGTCGGAGTGGGTGTACTAAATAGTGGAACCCAAACAACTATAGTAAGGGAGTTGATATCAACTGTAGCGTGGAGTGGAATATGATTGAGGGAAGGTGATGTAATGAACCTACTTTAGTACTTGAATTTAAGTTAGGTATTTAATGAATGCATTATGTGTGGGGCAAGATTTGTTAACCATAGAGGATGTTGTAATATTTTGTTGTATGGATTGAACAAATGGAGTGTCATTTGTTGGGTATTTGTAATGGACTGTCATTTGGTACCTACAAACTAGAAGCAGATCCTGTTGAGTAAATGCATGTATCATCTGTACAAGGTAAGTAACTGAATGGGCCAAGATTATTTCATCCTTTTTCTAGTTCCTTAATTTAATCTTGTGTTATTTTATTAAGTTTATACTGCAATCAATTATCCAATACAGTTCAGATTAGTAATTTACATTGTAAGTGATAATAAAAGACATTGTTGTTTGCTCATATGTGGTGTTCTTGATTTTGCAGCCACAAACTGTAGTCACTAGTGAAGGACATTGCTGCTGAATATGTCACTGACTTGGTAAGTTTATTTTGTGAAGTTATGTTTACAATTTCTATGCGAGATAAAAGTGAGTTGTCAGCATTCAATGACCTGGAGCTGAGAGTGATCAATGGAATTCAGAATAGCGAGTACAGGAACCTGTACAACCATGAGAACATATTTGTTGCTGAGCACGGTGGTGGTGCCGGGAACAACTAGGCCAGTGGATATCATCAGGTAGAGTTGTGCTTTGTATCTTTGTTTGCACATAAGGTTTCCACTGGATGGACCAATCTTGCAGGCTTTGTGGACTTGATTGTTTTGTCACTAGGCTAATTGTTCCTTTTCTCATTTTAGAAATAAATGCTCAAATGCCTTTTCATATTCTCATAGGGTGAACAAGTTGTTGATGATATCATGGACATGGTTGACAGAGAAGCAGATGAAAGTGATAGCCTTGAGGGTTTTGTCTTTTGTTACTCTATTGCTGGTGGAACTGGTTCAGGTTGGCTATCTGGATCTCATATTTTGATTTTCTTTCTTTTCATTTTTCTATTCTACTCTCACTTCTCTGTTGATGACTTTATATTGTACTTGGAGTATTTCGTGGTGTCTACCATCTGACTCACTGTACATTGGAAATTGCATTGTTATTATGAAACATTAAAACAATTATTCTCCTACCACTTTAATTTGAGCACCTTCATTTGTACATCCATCTCCTTATGTTTTACTTGAGCTGTGAAATTCTATTTCTGGTGGCATTATTCTTGTTTGAGGCATGCACATTATACTTTTACTTCTTTGTTATATTTGAGCTGTGAAGAACACTTAGGCAGACATAATTTTTAGCCTACTGTTAATTCCTTTGTACAGGTTATTGATACCTCATTGCTTAGAAGATGTATAATAGGGGTCGAGAACTGGATGACACAACTTGCCTGCCTTCTTTTGATTTTTGATTATTTTGTATGTAGTTGTTGCTCCGAATCGAAGAAAATTCTTCGATCCCTGTTCATTGTAGTGTTATTGACTTTTGTCTTTGATTTGACCATTGCTCATGATTCTTTGTTCATTTGTTAGGAGTTCTTAGAAGGCAGGAAGATGTTCTCGGTTGAGGCTAAAGAACAAGCTGGATTTCAATGCAAGGATGACTGAAATACCATGAGAAATGATTAATACAAGTGTAGTTTATTAGTTGATTCGATCGTCTTTACAAGTATCTTACTAGTATCGGTGCATGTTGGAACCAAATTTTATAGTTTAAAATTCATGGCCATGGCTACATACTTTTTTTATGTTTGATAGTTTTGTTGGACTTAGAGAATTGAAATTGGCTGAGAAGAGTTTAAATTTCAAATAGCTATTCAGCCAATTTAAATTGACTGAGGACTAGCTGGCTGCTCGAAGCAGCTGCTTGGCTGGCTGGTCCAGCACCAGCTCTAGCCACCCAATTCAAGCCTGCAGAACACGCTGCTCACTTTTGGCTGGGTGGAAAACGAAGAGTTGACTTGCACGAATCATGGAGGCAGCAGGGCCGTGGGATAAGGGGTGGGCGCACCCATGGTTGTGGAAAATACAAGTTGCATGTCCTTGAGCCCCTGCAGCCGCTCAACATGTCGACGACGGCCACCATATGCCCGCTTGCTCGCAGTGCCCTCCGTGTCGTGCTCCGCCCTAAGCTGCATGCGCCACCGTCCTTTCCACGCTCCTGCGCTGACCGCTTCCTCATCCTCTCCTTGCTCTCCATGCATGGCACACCTCACTGGATGCCACGGGCAGCGGCGGCGCCATCACCGCCCGTCCGACTCTGCGTGTTCTTTGGGGGAGCCGTAACTACTCTGCCTCACCTAGAACACTGGTGATACCGTGGTCCGTGGCCGTGCGCCTAATCTTGCACCAGCAGCCGCACCTGCTACCGTTCCTCAAGCACCATACAGTATGCTACGGTACGTGTTATTGTTTCCTGCCAGAATGCGGTGGTATTGGTTGAGGTGGCTAACTTATATATATGGTGGTGTGCACGTGTGCGTGTTTATATATATTTATATATATATATATATATGGAAATTATTTTTTACTCTCAGGGAGTAGTTACTTCCATGTGTATATCTCTAGATTTAGAGTGTATATGGCCCGACGAAGTGTATGTAGAGTATATCATCGTACTAAACCATATAGGGTACTATGTACGACAAGTATGTATGTAAACTTATAGTATATGGTTATACTTATTTTATATGCTACTATCGTAGTATTATATAATATATTAAAAAATATGTGCTCTTTTGAATTTTTTTCACATAGTAAAGATCTGGAGTATCTTAATATTAATATGTCAACATACTCAAACTGATAAATGAGTATGTACACATACGCAACGTGATTTATTAATTATGGAAGTAACTACTCATGGGCAAGCTAAACAGCCAGCAAATGCGAACGGCCAACTTCAACGCAAGCTAAACGCGGCACAAATGGGCAACCTAAACAGCTAGCAATATTGCCCAGTTCGTTTGGCTGATAAGCCATGACTGGAAAAACTATTGACTGATTTTTATGAGCTGAAAAAGTATGGCTTATAAACCAAACGAACATGGTGTATGTATGCCCGCCTAGAAGCAAGCGGCGCGTGCGGAGACGTGCGACGGGCTACCCGCAGCCGCGCTGTTTGCATCCATACTCCGTAGCCACCGTGCATGCTCGCTGCGCTCCCGCCACTACGGTGCCCTCAGAAGACAAAGAGGGGTAAACATGTGAAAAGAAAAAAAAAGAAATAGAGGGAGATTTCTGCAAAATACAAATACAAACAAGCAATATGGATCTCCGGTGAACAACTTAAAAAGTTTGTTTATGCTTCCAAATATAGTGTGAGACTTGATCGACCTAGATGACACCGCCTCAAAAATTAATGGACCTCTGGTACATTTTACTCTAATCTGTTTATGGACAGTACTAGCGCTCGGACGTCCGGACAGACGCCCGTGGCTGTTGCACACCCGCGCCGCTCCCCGCGCTTCCCCCTCCGCTTCCCATGCCCACAGCCGCGCCGCACTCCATCCCTCCGCTTTCCACACGCATGCATGGCACCCTAGCAGCTGCAGCAGGCGGCTGTGGAAGGTGAGTCACATTGCAATATGTACAACATTCGATCTACTTTTCAAACATCCAGATGAATCATTTGCAACATGCGTCTGAAGATAAATGAAACACCTGAAACATGTGTCTGAAACACTTAAAAAACACCTGAAAAGTCATTGCAAAACATATGCAACATCTAGATAAAAACACTTACAACATATGTGTGAAACATATACAACATCCAAATAAAAATACTTTCAATATACATATGAAACATTTGAAACAGACTCTTCCAACGTACGTGTATAGCCATTGCAACATATGCAACATCCCGATCTACTTTTGCAATATCCATATGAAACACTTGCAACGTACCTCTGAAACATATGAAATAATTGAAACTTACGTTTGCAACATAGGGGTGAGAGGCCGATGCTGGTCGATTCCAGGCGTCAGTGTGGGAGTCGGCGGCAAGAGGTGCGCGAGCACCACCATCACCGACCGCGCTCGCGGGTACCCCTTGGCTCGACCAGGGATGACATGAGGCGCCCCACATGTGTGCCCAACCGCCATTGGCAGGGGCAGCGACAGCGGCCCGTGGCGGCGAGGCATCCCGACGGCGCTGGGTTGGGGTCCTCGGCGAAAAGGCCATGGAGGCGCGACCGAACTGAGAAAGGAGGCAGCGTGGTCGGCTTCGGGTCTGCTGTTGCCAGCGAACGAGAGAGAGAGTCCGAGAGATGGGGAGGGCGAGACGAAGCGGGGATATTTTTTTCTTGAAAGAGGAGGGCAAGGCGGAGTGGGAAGCCACGTCCTAAGGGATGTGGGCGGACGGAAGCATTTCCGTTCGTTTATGTCTTCTTGCAAACTTTAGCTTGAAAACAAAAGCCAAACAACTTGTTATTACCATGTTTTTTTTATTTATGCCCAGAATTGGGCTTGGTCACAAGTCAGGTTTTCAGCCCTTATTTTGGCCATGGGCCAATTTTCTTCGGGTGAGGCTTCTTGGATCACCAACCAAACCGAAAGGGGCTGGTCAAACGAGAAGACCCATCTCGTCATCGTCAACGGCAAGGCCTAATGGGCCTATGGACTGATAGTATGGGCCTTGGCCCAGTTTGCATCCGTAGTAATGCAGTCATCATCACATCAGTAAACGAACAGACGCATTGCGCAAAAAGCTCGCAAAATCGCAGCACGTAACCTTGGACGCGAAGGCGTCGACCCCGATGCCGGCGTCGTCCTCGTCGCCGGCGATGGCGTCGCAGCATGCGCCGACGCCGCGGGAGCTCGACCTCGACGCTTTCCTCCCGACGTCTCCGACCTCCTCCGCGTCCTCCGACGCCGACGCAGCCGACCCCGACCACCGCCGCGCCGTCGACGACCTGCTCCGCCTCCTCTCCTCCTCAGACTCCGACTCCGACTCCGAGGAGTCCAGCCGCATCCCCAGCAGCACCAGCAGCGGGGCGCCGTCCCGCGTCCAAGCCCCGGCGCCTCCCGCTGAGCCCTCGCCGTTGCCGTCCCCGCCCCCGCCCCCGAGGAGATCCGCATCGGCCTCGCCGTCGGAGACCCTCTCCTCCCTCGTCGCGAGAACCTTCTCGAGCAACGGCGCTTCCTCGTCGTCGAGGCCCCTCCCCTCGCTCTTCCGGGGCGTCCGCCCCAGCCCCAAGCCCGGCGCCGCACTTGCCGCTGCCGCCGCAGCCTCCCGCGCGGTCCTCACCCCACACGCCGCTGCCATCAAGTCCCGCCGATCAGTCTCGGCGCCCGTGGAGAAAGTTCTGGTGGAAGAGGGGAGTGGCTCCGAAGACTCCAAGGAGCTCCCTCCCACTGGGAGCTTGGAAGCAGAGGTAGAAGAGAAGGGTAATTCGGAACCGGTTGCTGAGGCGACCAAGCAAACTGCAGGTGGGAGTGTGGGTACAGAATTGGGAGAGGATGAACAGGCAGAAGCGGGAGGTGAAGAGAATGCTGAGGCTATAAAGCTGGTGGAGGCAAGTTCTCTGGACTCTCTTGTTGCAGAGGAATCCAGTGGGCATGAGCAAGGTGATGATGTCAATTTGGCGGAAACTGACCAAGTTGTGAATCAAATTGAGGCTGTCTATGAGGAAAATGGGGATGGCGAAACTGTAGATGATAATCATGTGCAATCAGATCAGGGTATGGATCTAATTGGGGTTGTTTCTGAGGAAAGTTCTGATGATGAACAGGAATTTGAAAGATCTGACAGTATCATGGAAGAAAAAGTGGAATCTGGGAGCTTAATTGATAAAGTGATTGAAGAGAGGGTAGAGCAGCTGGAGGCCAGCAGGAAGGCCGAGAAGAACGCAGAGAAGAAGCTGAAGGTGTCAATGAAGCCGTTGGAGTGGGCAGAGGAGCTTGAGAAGAGGCAGGCCTCGTTTGGTCAACACTGGGAGGAAGGAGCAGCTGCGCAGCCCATGCAACTAGAGGGAATCGGAAAGGGCCCACCAGCTATCGGTTACATGCAAATTGAGATGGACAACCCAGTAACTCGTGCCATGTCCTCACCGTCGTTTAGGTCAGACCATGGATCTCCCCAGGTGCTGGCTGTTCATAAGAGCTATATAGCAATGGGCACATCTAAAGGTGCTGTCATTGTCATTCCAAGCAAATACTCCATTCATCAAGCTGATGATACAGATGCAAAGGTTAGTCATTAGTGTTGGAGTGAATAAGGCATGTTTGGTTCACACTAATCGGTATTGTTGTATATTTCGACTTAAAGATGGCGTATTTATTATGCATTATTTTGGTGAAGTTAAATATTGTTCTTTCAAAAACATTTGTTGCTGGATATGACTATATCATTTGGTGTCAACTTACTGGAAGTCTTTACTTTCTTAATTTCTTGTCTTAATAAGGAATAAACAGGAAGGGACTGAGAAGTATTGTTACATTTCTGTTTCTGCAACAGCTCTATGTGCATTTGTCCATAATTCTGTAGATGAGTTCTGGTGATCAGAATAGCACTTGCACCTCTTTATTAAGTCAAGCTTACTCTGAATTTGGTTTGCTGCCAAAAATATACTAATATAGTGTCCGTTACTGCACCAGAATCTGATACAAAGACAACATTTAGGTAGAGTTTGCAGAAGTATCTCAGATTCTAAATTTGGAGTAGAATATGCAACAAGTTCTTGTGAAGAAGCTGCTTAGGGAAATCCTTTGTTTGTTGTGCCCTTTTAGTGGACACAATACATCAGTGTGTCATTGGAACATCGCATTGTTTTCTCTTTCTTTCTCGCTGATTGAAATGCTATTATTTTTTCTTCAAAGATAACACATTGATTTGAATCAATGGCTGCACATATAAATCTGAGAACCCCATATGCAAAATCTTGTTGGACGAACTTGGTGAAACCAATACCTGTTCTAGTTTGGTGGCTTAAAAGTTTTATAAATTATGTGAATCACTTTCGGTATAAACACTTTTCAAAAAAATTTCAGATGCTGTTCTTTTGGAACCAAGGCGAGAGGACTCGATCACCAGTGACTGCCATGTGCTTTAACCAACAAGGGGATCTTCTGCTAGTAGGATATGGTGATGGTCATATGACAATTTGGGATGTACAGAAATCTGCAGCAGCAAAAGTTATATATGGCGAGCATACAGCACCAGTAGTGCATGCTTGTTTTATCCGTCAATCTAAAGCCATCACTGGGGATTCAAAGGGGGTAGTTCTATTGCACACGTTTTCCATTATCCCCGTAATTAATCGTTTGACTGTCAAGGGAACTCAGGTATGGAGAAATATCATTTTACTCTACTGTGCTCACTAGTTTTCGTGTTGAACATGTGGTCTGACAAAACCTTGCTACAATTTGACAGCGCCTTTTTGATGGGAATACTGGAATTGTGCTCTCAGCCTGTCCTCTTGTTATGGATGAATCTTTTGGTTTTAGTAACTCATCTGCCCAGGGAAATCAGACAACTTCCTCCAGTGGTAGTCTTGGCAGCATGATGGGTGGTGTTGTTGGAGGTGTGGTTGGAGTAGATTCTGGATGGAAGTTTTTCAATGAAGGCTCTTCTCCAATGGAGGATGGTGTTGTAGTCATGTTTATTATGCATCAACATACTCTTGTGGTATGAACCAGTTATAATTTTGGAAACATGTTCTGTGATTTTAGTAGCTATTATATGTGTCATGAATTCTTATAATGAGGGTAATATTCTATTGTTTTCCTGTTAGGTTAGACTCCGTACCAATATTGACCATGTTGACCATATTGAGACCTTCTCTAGACCAGATGGAGCACGTGAGGGCTCCATTGCGTATGCTGCGTGGAAATACACATCATCTTTGAATGAATCGTCATCAGTAGGTAAAGTAGGCCTTCTTTCATGAGCATTGGTGCTTTCTTTAATATGTATTTCAATTTTTGGGGACTAACGTGATGATGCTATAGATGAAGAACGAGTGTCATGGCTAGCACTTGCATGGGACCGTCAAGTGCAAGTTGCAAAGTTTGTTAAATCTAAGATATTTAAACACAAGGAGTGGAAGCTTGATAGTGCAGCTGTTGGTGTTGCCTGGTTGGATGACCAGGTATGCAAAATCTCTTTTCTGCTATTCATTTAATATCCTCTCTACTTGGCAACAAATTAAATTACTCTCTTTTCTCTTCAGATGTTAGTTGTCCTTAATTTGAGAGGGCAGCTCTGTTTATTCTCTAAAGACGGCAGTGAGCTTCGCAGAACTACCTTTGTTCCTGATGGCCTTCTTTTTGATGACACAATATTGCACCATGCACATTTTTTTAACAGGTTTGGTAACCCAGAGAGGCATTTTAACAGTTCAGTAGCAGTAAGAGGTGCTACAGTGTATATTCTTGGGCCATCTTTTCTCACGGTTTCCCGACTTCTTCCATGGAAAGAGCGAATTGAAGCACTAAAGAGGGCTGGCGATTGGATGGGTGCACTAGACATGGCGATGAGGCTTTATGATGGTCAGACACAGGGTGTTGTTGATCTCCCAAGAACGGTTGATTCGATTAGAGAAGCCATAATGCCTTACCTAGTAGAATTGCTGCTATCATATATAAGTTATGTTTTTGAATATATTTCAATTGCACTGTCAAATCATACTGGAAAAGGGGGAGAATCAGATGTTCTAATAGAGGCAGATCGATCCCTGCTTACACAAAGAGATGAGCAGTACGCTCGTGTAGGAGGGGTTGCAGTTGAGTATTGTGTCCACATTGGACGTAATGATATCCTTTTCGATACGGTCTTCTCTAAGTTTGTTGCTGCACAAAGTGGAGGTAGGCTTATTCTAACTCTCTCAGTAGAAGCAGTAACATTTCCTTTTGGTTAAGTTCTGAACTTTATTATTCATGCCTTGTGAAACACCAAACATGTAGTATGTCCTATAGATCATTCCATCATATGATCTTTGTTGAACTTTGCCCATGAAAGACAGAACCATCGAAAGATATTTTCATGCTTCTGATCTAAGTTGTTCATTTTCAATGAATCCCTTTTGAATTCTGAAAACCAATACAGAAGGTTTTCCATATTCCGACTTGTGCTCTTATATTTTTGTGGCCCATTACTCTTATTATTTTTTTCTGTCTTGGAATATTGACTCCCCTCCGTGGAATATGCAGGAGAGTTGTGTATTATTTCATTAAGAAGAAGAAATAGTGCAAAAAGTTAAAGACAACACACACACTAACACACGCACCAACACACACTCACTGGCATATACGTGTGTGTGCACACACACTCTCTCTCACACTGGCTTAGGCTTAGAACATATATTTTGACTTATGTATTAAAATTTCATAGGATTATATGTATTTGTAGTCTCTATTAGATAAACATTGCATATGTAAATATACTTGCAGGCTTATGGGACGGTGCATTTACATGTATCTGTTGTTAAACTGTTGTTAACTTGAAAAGTTTGAAATAACATGATAACAGGTATGTTTCTGGAGGTGCTAGAGCCCTATATATTGAAGGATATGCTTGGTTCTCTGCCCCCTGAGGTGAGCAGCACCAGGATTTATACTAGTTCTAGGATAACAATCTGTAAATGAATATGCATATAATCCAATTGTACTTGTAGATCATGCAAGCACTAGTGGAGCATTATAGTGGCAAAGGATGGTTGCAGCGAGTTGAACAATGCATCCTTCACATGGATATTTCTTCATTGGACTTTAATCAGGTATAGAAAATATTTGTAATGTATCGTCTTGGTCTGTTTATATTGACTTAGAAAATAGCATCTTAATTTGCTATTGAATTTATTATGGTTCCATTTTGTAGCTTGAGCTATAGTTCAAGCTTGCCAATGCATTTTATTATGCTTCTGTTGTGTGCAGGTAGTCAGACTTTGTCATGAACACGGGCTATACGGTGCACTAATTTATTTATTTAACCAAGGCCTGAATGATTTCCGTACACCTCTAGAGGAACTTCTATCAGTAGTTCAGAACACCAACAGTAAAGATGATACTTCTAGTGGGTATGTAATATTCTGGCTCGCGGTAGTTCTATGAAACAATACGATACAATATTTTATATTTAGTGAACACCATTCTACATATAACATGATACGATATTTTATATTGTCCATTAGTTGTGGATTGTGAATTGACCATGATCTTGTTAATTCTGAAATTCCTGATAAAAATGTATCTTAGGTAAACTTTTATTAAACAGTGTTTATAGCGAACACCGTTGTTGTTCCTTATCTGGCTGTCATTTTTATTTGAGAATAGAACAAATGAATCGTGATTTTTCCCTTCTTCGGGTGCACACATGGATGTAATAGTAATACTATGTAAAAGTTTCTCAATTCTTGTGAATCTAAAGGGACGAGATTGGTTGTGCTTGTTTAATTTTTCTTAGATATTCCTGAAGCTACACATAGAACTCAATATATTTTTGCTAGGTTTTAGTATGTTGCTAAAAGAAGGGCAGGCCTGGTACAGTGGTGAGAGCTGTCTCACTAAGTCACCAGGTCGTGGGTTCGAGGCATCCTCTCCGCAGATTTGCGGGGGGAAGGCTTGCCTTGGTTTTTCCCTTCCCTAGACCCCACTCATGTGGGAGCCTCCGGCACTGGGTCTGCCCTTTTAGTATGTTGCTAGAATCAGATAGAAATATACAGCAATATCTTAGCCTCTAACCTGTTGTTTGTTGAAACAGATACAGGATGCTTGTTTATCTGAAATATTGCTTTCAGGGCTTGGCATTTCCTCCAGGTTAGTTCCTCCATTTGTCATATGATTTATCATTTACCAGTTCATTATATCAATAGCAGATTAGTATGTAGTTAGACCACAATACCTGTTTTCCATGTGGCATTGCTTTTTGGTGGGCCCAGAATCCTGTATATTTTTTTAGTAAAACTTTGTTGAAAACTTGATTATCAAATTGGAGAGATTTTGAAGCTACCATAAGATGCTTTGTCAGTCATCAGAATGTCTGCACCACTACCAGCAGATTCTTTTGTAGAACCAGGAATAGTAAATATTATATTATGTTGATTTATTCTCTTATATTGTGAATAGAACTCAGATAGATGTTCTGACATGATTTTCTTTTAAAGGGCATGGGATAATTCCCCGATCCCGGCTTCATTCAGTGAGGGAAGAACTCCTGCAATTTCTGCTTGAAGAGTCTAAGCCACTCACTTCTGAAGTATTTAAGGGTTTTAATGCTTCTTGTGGAAAGTGCCTAAACATATGCTATCTTCTATGGATGGATACTGAAGCTACTTTGGAAGTCCTCAAATGTGCTTTTGTACAGGATAACTTTGAACCTAGAGATGAACTTCCAAGTACTGTCCATACGTCTGTCTCAGGCAATGAAGATAGTATTGACGCTGGAAGCCCAGAGAGCCAAAATACTATGGTACAAAATGTAGTTGATGCCATCATTGACATTGTTGGTTTGAAAAATGATGTGATTCGGTCCGTTGTCATGGGTAACACTGAATCAGAATTTTGGCCTTCGGAGAAGGATTTTAGCTATTTAATGGAGTTTGTGTCCTTTTTTGTTTCCCACAAAAGGGCTAATGCATCTAAGAGAGTTGTTAGGCACATTCTTACTTATCTCATTTCATCATATGATGACACAAGAACAAGGACTCAGAAAGAAAAAGAAGTTCTTCAACTCTTCAATGCGGTTCCCCAAAATGATTGGAATTCAGATTTTGTCTTGAACCTTTGTTCAGATGCTCATTTCTATCAGGTTTGCTACCACTGCTCTGTTAGATTCACTCCTATGAAATTTATGTAGCACTGTTACTCGAAATTGCCAGCTTATGGATGAAAATATTCTTGTCCTTGTGCAGGCCTGTGGCTTGATATTTACGACTAGGAATCAGAATTTGGCTGCTTTAGATAGTTACATGAAGGATGAAGAGGAACCTTTCCATGCTTTTATCTTCATTGATAAAAAGTTACTAGAATTGGTTGATGATGAAGTTTTGTCATTTCATACCACTGTAATATCTCGCTTTCCTGAGCTAGTCAAGCTAAGCAGGTAAAGTTGTCAACTATTTATCAACCAAATCATATTCTTTTCTTTCGTTCTTCCTCTCATGTTTGTCTTTCAACTGAATGTGCTCATTCTCTCTTATGCCTGGACTCGCAGGGAGTGTGCATTTGTCTTGGCCAGTGATCATTTCTGTGATAAGATACAGCAAATATTAGCAGAGCTTCATTCTGACAGACACAGCCTCTTTCTTTTCTTGAAAACTGCTATTGAAGCACACTTGTCTGGAAAACTTGACCTCAGTAAGCTTGAAGTAAGAAACAAACAAACTGTTGAACTCCAGTACTCTTCTACTGACGTTGAAGATTATCAGCAGAGGCTATCAAATCTCTCCAAGTTATGCCACAATCCTGTTTACATCGACGACGAGTTAGTTGAACTCTATCTGGAGGTAGTGATAGATTTTTGAACTTTAGTGCCTTTCAAATGGTATGGAGCATTTGATAATCACTGAACATTTTAGTGCTAGCCGCCATACTGTACATGAATTTTGTAAGAACAAGCTACAAATATATTGGCAGCTAGGGCAGTGAATCTCCAGAAATAATTAGGCATCACATAGCAATTTTCCTTTGCGAATATAAAAAAAGTTGCGCGCTGTTAGCTGCAAGCTTTGAAGTAACTGTCACAAAAATTTTCTTTCTGAAAATAAGTAATAGGAAAACAAAATTTATCGCTGCATATTTCTTATGATCTTTGTTAATCAAACACATGTTCCTTGACAGCTTTTATGTCAGTATGAGCGAAGGTCTGTTCTGAAGTTTCTGGAGACTTTTGACAGTTACAGATTGGAGCGGTGCTTGCATTTTTGCCTAGATTATGGAGTTACAGATGCTGCTGCATTCTTGCAAGAGAGGGTTGGTGATGTTGGGAGTGCCTTAGACCTTATTCTGGCTGGACTTGATGAGAAAATTAGCCTATTTATCTCTTCTGTGGAAAATACTTTCTCTGGTGTCGCATCAAAAAGTATCTCTGAAATTAAGCAACTAGACATTGTTCTAGAAATGAGTGAGGTTTATTTCTCTCACATTTGAATTCTTGTCTAGGTTTTTAACTTCTGCTGTGCAGGTATTAACATTTTCAACTTTTTTGTTTAAGGCTCATCCAGTGCTTGATGCATTGCATGCCTCCATTGGATTGTGCCAAAGGAATTCACAGCGCTTGGACCCAGAGGAATCTCAGTCCCTTTGGTTCCAATTGCTTGACTCGTAAGTCATGCTATAATACATGAATACATAAGTGTGTTACAAAAAATAATTTGTACGATGAATCTATTGGCACAGTTTCCATCTGGTCAGTCAGTGTTGCTACTTATGATCATAGCTAGCGGAGTTGGTCGAGGGTGTGGATGTATGCCTAGACCATCCAGGTTCCAGTCCTTGTCGAGGCGAATTTGTGTGCCTATTTTCTTAATAAAATGCCAGCTGGTTCCTCCTAGGTTGGTCTAGTTTAAAAATATATATATATATATAGAAAACACCAATGTGTCCCTGTTCTCGAAAATGGCATATGGAGTATTTATGAGCAGAATGATAGCACATATAGTTAATGCCTTAGTTATGGTTGTTAACTTTTGGTAAAAAGAGCAATAAGCCAATAACAGAAATATTTTGTCAGGAAATTATCTATTAGATTCAATAGCACATCTAGAAAGACAATGTGAGCCTATTGCTGTGGGATAATTTGGGGAAGTTTTTCCAAACTGTTCTCAACTTTGTCGTGCTCATAGTTTGCTGAAGTCATATTTACATATTTATCTTTTGTACTAATGTATACCATTACTATTGATTCAGCTTCTCAGAGCCATTAAAAAAATTGTATGGAATCAAGGATGTAAATGGAAAAGGTGCCAGGTCAAATTGGAGTGAAGCACCAATGGAACATCTGAAGGAAAAAGGACTATCTCAACAAATGAGGATTTCAACTAAACAAAAGTGCCTAAATGTTCTGCGAAAAGTATTTTCACAATGTGTTGGAGAAACAATAGAGGCCATGGCTGGGTATATACCCCTACCAGCAATCATGGCAAAACTGTTATCCGATAATGGGAGTCAAGAGTTTGGTGATTTCAAACTTGTGATACACAGAATGTTATCTATGTATCTTTACGAAAAAAGAATACTGGTATGGCTCATTTGTCTATTTCTTGTAGGTAAAGGCTGTAATTACAAACTCCATTTACTGCTTTGTGGAACACTGTAGAAGATCATTGGTAAATTTTGAATCACATGACATACTCATTGCAATAGAGCAAAGGTTTGAAAAGGTTGCTCTGTATGGTCCATGTATTCTTGTTACTCTGTTAGTAACTCGGACCAAGTATGAGACCAGTTCATTAATGTGCCTTGAATTTTGTTATTTGATAACGCTACTACCTCATAATGTCCTAAACTAGATATATTTGTCCATGATCTGATATATGTCCCTGCATTGACTCCTGGAATTGATTGTTTGTTTTGCGCATTCAAATCTACCTCATGATTCAAGTGTTGAGCTCTCTACCTAGTAAGTACCAATTGACTTAATGCCAAATGAAAAACATCACTGCTTTTAGTTTCTGGAAATCTCTCATAATTTTTCTGATAGAAAATAATTCTTAGCTTCTCTGCTCTGATATCTAATTCACCTATCTGTAGGAAACAGCTAAGTCAGTAATTGAGGATGACTCATTTTATACCTTGAGCTTATTAAAGAGAGGAGTTTGTCATGGGTTTGCTCCAGAGACTTTTGTATGCTGCATATGCAACTGCTCACTTTCTAAAGAAGGTGCTATTTCAGCCGTACGGTTGTTCAGTTGTGGGCATGCAACACATCTTCAGTGTGAGTCTGGTCAGACCAGGTCATCCAATCAGGAATCCAAAGAGGGATGCCCTGTCTGTCTCTCGACGAGTGATACACAAGCTCGAAGCAAATCACCTATGTTTGAGAATGGGCTAATGAAGTATTCTGGGGCTGAACATGAAGTATCACATGGCATCCATCAGATTCATGAAGTTGATCATGCTGAGAGATCTCGTGGGCTTCAACAGATGTCACGGGTATGACTATATCAGATGGTCTTACCTTTTTTAGGTTGTATCATAAATCTCGCAACTAAAACTGGACGCCTTTCTGACAAGTGAAAAGTGAAACTATACCTAGTTCTAATCTTCTATTGTGTCTTCTAATCGATATGTGATATGTGGATAACGTTTCTTTTTTCAGTATGAAATACTGAATAATCTTCAGAAAGCGCAGAAGTCCTTTCATATAGAAACCGTACCTCCATTGAAACTTGCACCGCCAGCTATATATCATGAGAAGATACAGAAGAGGACCACTTCAGTTGGTGAAACTAGCAAACATTCAGTTAGAAGTCAGAAACCCCAGAAAATATGGCAAATGAAGGAGCAAAAATCAAAACAGACTGGGAGTCGTCATCCACAAAAGTCAAGTTTTCTACGTGAGTTCATATTCCAGTCACTGACATCATAAGAATTAATGTCACTGTGAATGTCACTGTGCTGATTCAATTATGGCTTTCTGTTTGCGTGCTTACTTTCTTTGATCCTCTGCAGGTAAATAGAAGAAAAAAAATGCTGCTTTGTTAAGTATGGTATGTGAAGGGCGGGCCTGGTGCAAGCGGTAGAGTCTTACCGCCTGTGACCGGAAGGTCCCGGGTTCGAGTCGCGGTCTCCTCGCATTGCACAGGCGAGGGTAAGGCTTGCCACTAACACCCTTCCCCAGACCCCGCACAGAGCGGGAGCTCTCTGCACTGGGTACGCCCCTTTTTTTTGTTAAGTATGGTATGTAGTTCAAGCTTTACGCCTCCAGTAATCTTGCTTGTATCATGTTTCTTGTTTTAATATGTGTGAGATCTATTGAAAATGTCTTTAAGATCAATACTAAAAGAAGGATATTAACACTCCAGCCTATATATGGCTGAATGCACGATGAGGCTGAACTTATCACTGCAGTAGCTCTTTTGAAGTGATGCTAAACCTCCATCTTTTGAATCTTAGCAAAACACCTGATGGCACAGTCAAGCATGGCACAACAAAGTTAGATACTGTTTAAGTGAGATTTATTTTGATCCCTTGCTGTGACCAAATTGTTAGTCGTTGAACTTTCACTCTCGGTAGTAGCAGAATTCTTACTCTCATCGAGAGAGGATGACACTAGGGGTTGGGGTAATTTTCTGGTTTATTTCTCACACAAATGCCATGCCAACCCGAGGGGTTGGGGATACATATTTATAGGCTGCTAGCCAGCCAAGCATATGCTAAGATGCTAGTCTAAGATGCTAATATGCTGTCCTAAGATGCTGTCCTCTCAGTCAAGCAGTCAAGATGCTGCTGCTGTCCTCTCAGTCAAGCAGTATGCTGTTGCAGCCAGCCCCACAAGGACTGTCAACAGAGACTTATTCATTATTCTCCCCCTAAGTCTTGTGCGTCGTCTTGTGGGAAAGTTGAACCATCCCGGTCCTGGAGCAAAGCTCAAGGAACTTGATCCTTCCAAGGGGCTTGGTGAGCAGGTCCGCAAGCTGGTCCTTGGTGTTGATGTAGCTCGCATTGATGCTCCCGTCCTCCAAACAGCCTCGGATGAAGTGGTACCTCACCCGGATGTGCTTATTCCGTTCATGAAAAACGGGGTTCTTTGCCAGGGCCAGAGCGGACTTGTTGTCCACCCTGAGCTCCACCGCTCTAGTGTCTCTGCCGAGGAGATCACCAAGCGCCGAGCGAGCCAGGCGCTGAGTCGGCGGTGGAGGCCACTATGTACTCGGCCTCGCACCGGACAGGCCACCACTGCCGCTTGACCGATCGCCAAATTCTAACGAGACACTTGGCCGAGGAAGAAGAGGATCCCGCCGTGCTCTTCTTGGTGTCGATGTCGCCGGCGTGGTCGCCGTGTCGCATTCCGACGGCGTGTGCCGCCTGTGGCACCTCGGTAGTAGAGGCCGTGGTCGAGAGTCCCGCAACGTAGCGGATGATCCTCTTCATGACTGGCTGGTGCTCCGTCGTCGGTCATTGCATGAACCGACTAACGTGCCGACGGAGAATGCCAAGTCCGGCCGTGTGTGGCGTAGGTAGCGAAGGCTCCCCACAAGACGCCGCAGATCGCGTGGCGCCCACCTCCTCCGTCGTCTTTGTCGCTCGGCTCGACAACCTCTCCTCCTCCATCGGAGTGAGAGCTGGGTTGCGATCGGTGAGCCTAGCTAGCTCAACGACGCTGGCTTGGCATAGGGCGGTCCAATCGAGCGTGATCCCGAGTCATCTTGGTGCACCTCGATTCCCGGTGTAGAAGGAGAGGGCCCCAGTCACTCATCCGGAAGGTGGCCTTCATCTCTTCCTTGAATGCCGCCACCTCCGCATCCTTGGTCTTTGGTGATCACCAAGTCGTCGACGAGACACCCCCCCAAAGGGGCATTTCCTCCACCGCCCGTCGGTAGATGGTCGCATCGTCGCGGGCTTTGCTCAAAGCCCATCCCCTTTAGCGTGGAATCCACTTTGGCATTCCACGCCTCGATGTTCTTGCCGCAAAGCCATGAGGGCCTTGCGCGGCGAGCACCTTTGCCTCCTTGCCGGGCATTGCAAATCCCGCCACCGGTGGTGCACGAGACCTCCTCCTTCAAGTCGCCAGTTAAGGAATGCCGACTTGACGTCCATGTGATGAACACGCCACGCCCTCAGGCGGCTAAGCGCAAGGAGGAGTCGTCGGACTCCATCCGTGCCACACGGAGCAAATCGCGTCGTCGAAGTCGACCCCTCCCGCCGCACGAAACCTCGTGCCACCAAGCGAAGCCTTGCGCTTGAGCGATGGCACCGCTTCATCCCTCTTCACCTTTGTATACCCACTTAAGGGTGATCGCGCGGTGACCACGAGGAAGGTCGCCAGAAGCTCCCAGTGCGGTTCTTCTCAACCGCATCCATCTCCAATCGCATCGCGGCCGCTTATGCAGCGTGTCTCTCGGCCTCTCGCAAACGGCCGAGGCTCACCGTCGTCACATGCAAGGTGCAATCTGCGCCTCAGTCGTGAGGCACCGGTCCGACAGACCGGTGGTCGCCGAGAAGGTTCTCCAGATGTACGGTACCGCAACGGCTCGCCGTCGTGAGAGAGCGCGAGTAGCGAGCTCAACGGGCCGTGCTCGACACGAGCCGGTGGTGGGGTAGACGTGCGGTGGTGCTGTCGGTCTTGCCGTCGTGGCGTTGCCGGTACCGTGGTGGAGCCGTGAAGAACTCATCGCAGCCGAGGTCTTTGCCGGAGAGCGTGGTCTTTGTCGAGTGCAGCGCCGCCGGTCGGTGGAGGCTCGGGATCGGGGTAGACGCGCTTCGCCAAGAAGAGCCGCCTACTCCCCGGCTCCCTCGAAGTGGACGTACTTTCGACAGTGAAGTCGTCAGACGCCGGAGCCGAGCCGTCGCCCACCGCTTTATCCACGCCCATCTCGCCGCTTTCGTCGAACACAACGTCAAGCGCTGCGGCGCATACACGCCGTGTCTTCGGGTCGAGGATGCGGTAGGCCTTCGAGCCCTCCGCGTAGCCGGCGAACACTCCCGGAGTGCTCCCATCGTCGAGCTTGGCGATGTGGCCAAGCTCCTTGGCGAACGCGAGGCGCACCAAGACCCGCAAGTGGGAGACCATCGGCTTGCGCCCATGCCAAGCCTCGTCGGCGCCCCGCCGCCGTCGAGGGCCTTGGTAGGCGAAGCGGTTGAGGATGTAGACGGCCGTCACAACCGCCTCTCCCGAAGACAACCGGCATCCCCTCTCGCTTGAGGAGGGCCCGAGCCATCCCCACAACCATCCGGGTTGCGCCGCTCGACGACGCCGCTTCGTTCTGCGCGGTCAGACGGTAGCGTAGAGTAGTGGCGCCTGAATGCCCTCGTCAACAGTGATGACGACGCGAATTCACCGCCGTGAATTCGCCGCCATTGTCGGTCTGCAGACGCTGCGCCTTATGCGCGGCGCACTCCGCCTCCGCAGAACTGCTCAGCATACCGATGGCGTCCGCGACCTCTCTCCCCTTGCTTCCGAGGACCATCACCCACATGTAGCGGGAGAGGTCGTCGACGAAGCGCAGGAAGTAGCGTCGTCCTCCCGGTGTGGCGGTGTCACCGGAGCCACACAAGTCCCGTGCACAAGCTCGAGCCTCTCCTTGGCTCGAAAGCTCGCCCATTGGGGAAAGAGGAGTCGTCGCCTGCTTCGTCAACACGCAGACGTCGCAGAGTTGCTCCCACATGGTCGAGGCACGGCAGACCTCGCACCATCTCCGTGGCAATCGAGCCGCCAGGCCTCGAAGTGAAGGTGCCCGAAACACTCGTGCCCTCGCCACGCCTCGTCATCCCGACGAAAGCGGCGAGACAGGGTTGTGCCACCGCGACGTTGAGGGCGTAGAGTCGATTTGCGCTTTTCGGTTACCTTGGCAAGAAGGCGACGCCGGCGATCCCAAATCCTCATGACTCCATCCTCAACCACCACGCTGCGAACCGCTCTCATCTAGCCGTCCCAAGTCGATGATAGAGTTCCTCAACGCGGGATGTAGTAGACTCCGGTGAGCAACCCGTGCTCACCAGACACCACAGCGTGAAGATGACGGAGCCGACGCCCTTGATCTCCACGCCGAGGCATCCCCAAACTTGACGGAGCCTCGGGCGCTAGAGTCAAGCTTCGGTGAAGAACTCCCCGTCGACCGGTCATGTGATGGGTGGCGCCGGTGTCGAGGCACCACCCGTCGATCTTGTCGCTGCTTAGGGCTGTCGCCGAGGAGGGCGTGTGCTTTTGGCTCGTCAAGGTGGAGGAGAGCAGCTGCGCGGCGGTTACCGGAGGTAGCTCGATGCTTGCATGTGCCATGAACAGAGCCGGCCCTCACTTTGTCGCGACGGGGGCTCGGCCGTGTCGTGGTATCGCCGGCGATCCTTGGCCCAATGGCCAAAGCCGCGCGCGCAGATTCGCGGCGCGGCCGTCGTCTCGTCGGGGCTTGTACTGCCGGGCGCCGCCTGGCGCCTCGCGCCATCACCCTCGGCACGTCCCTCGCGCCCGGCCAGGCGTCTCTGCGCGCCTTTGCGTGGCTTGCCACGCTTGCGATCGCTGTCGCGGAAGAAGGCTCCCCTTCTTCCTGTCACCACCTTATTTGGCAAGCCATTGCTCCCGAGTGAGAAGGAGCTTCCCGCCAAATGGTGATGGGCCCCGAGAGAGATCAGGCTCATCGCCGCCGACGACCTTGAGGCGACCTATCGCCTCCTCGATCGACATCGTGGAGTGATCCAGCAGGACTCGATCGAAGCGAGCCATCTCGCTTGTACTTCTTCGGGGCGCAGCAAAAGAGCTTTTCGACGCTCTCTCCTCGCCGTAGGTGTCATCGCCGAACTCGCACCATCTTCTCAATGCAGAGTGTTGAGACGGAGAGCAAAGTCATCAACGTCCTCACCGGCTTGAAGGCCGTGTTCTCCCACTCCTGCGGCGTGCTGCGCAGTGGACTTGCGCGCGTGGTCGCCGCCGATCTGCGCCCGCAACGATGGCGCCCCAAGCCTCCTTGGCGATCCGCTTGTTGGTAAGCGAGAATCGCATCTCGGGCGGGACTGCAGCGATGAGGGCATCCAGCGCCCGTCGATCTAGGTCGTAGTCGACGTCGCCGTACCGGACTGCCTCCCACATGTGCCGCACTGAGATTTACCCCCTCATCACAGCAGCCCACTCGACGTAGTTGGTCTTGGTGAAGGTAGGCCACCCACCGCCGGGACCGACGTCCACGACAATGACACGGAGCCCGTGGTAACCACGGTACCGATCCGGGAGAGAGAGCCACGCAGCTCAGGAAGGCCGTGCTCTCCATCGACCCGTCGGTATCGATCCGGGGAGAGAGCCACGCTGCCTGTGAAGGCCGCGCTCTCCATCGACCCGTCCGCCACCGTTGCCATGCGCGCCTCCTCCAGGAGCGCCGCCGCCGGCTTGCGCCTCCACCAGGAGCGCCGCCGGCGCGTCCGCGCCTGTCTGGGCTGCCGCCGCGCTCGTGGGTGTGCGCGGCTGCCCCAGGAGCGCCACCGCCATGCGCGCCTCCTCCAGGAGCGCCGCCAGCCGCGTCGCGCTGTGCAGGCTGCCGCCACGCTGCGTGGCGTGCACGGCTGCCCATCGCGCCGCCAGCTTCACTCCACGCCGCTCCCTCTCTAGCTTTCGAGGTCCGCGTCGGCGGTGTCGTCGGCGGAAATGGAGCTGCCGATGCTGCCGCGCAGAGCCTCGACCTCCGCTGCCGCTGCATTTGCCGCCGCCGCCGCTTCCGCCTCGCTCGCTGCTTGCCAGCTCCGCCCGGCCACGCCCTCGGCGACGCTTTGCCGCCGCCACCACAGGTCTGCCCGCCGCTGCTTCGCGTTCCTCTGCGCGGCAAGTTCGGTCTCTGCCGACACCACGTGCTCGAGGCGACTGAAGGCCGAGATCGCCTTCGCGGACATGACGCGCTATCGGGGGGGCTGCTGGCTGGGAGAGGGCTGCTTGTGACGCGCCGTCTGTCTGCAGAGGAGAGAGAGGAGCGGGCGGCCGGAGGAGTTGCTGCCGCCAACAAATTGAGGCTGTTGTGGGGCTGGGAGGAGATGAGCGGGAGATGCTCAGCTCTGAGGATAATACGGCTCGATACTCGATTGTTAGTCGTTGAACTCTCACTCTCGGTAGTAGCAGAATTCTTACTCTCATCGAGAGAGGATGACATTAGGAGTTGGGACAATTTTCTGGTTTATTTCTCACACAAACTCACACAAATGCCATGTCAACCCGATGGGTTGGGGATACATATTTATAGTCTGCTAGCCAGCCAAGCATATGCTAAGATGCTAGTCTAAGATGCTAATATGTTGTCCTCTAAGATGCTGTCCTCTCAGTCAAGCAGTCAAGATGCTGCTGCTGTCCTCTCAGTCAAGCAGTATGCTGCTGCTGTCCTCTCAGTCAAGCCAGCCCCACAAGGACTGTCAACACAAACTTATCCATCACAAATGGCTCGCATTTACTTATGATCAAGACAAACTGGCAGGACTAAAAGGAAAGCATGTGTATTTGAAATTTTGAATGGAGTTCAGAATTTGTACTGAAATTCACTTGCAATGATTGATTGTTGGATAGAGCGTCAATTTAGCATATATTGCTATTTACACTCTCCGTTGACAAACAGGCAAACAGCTAATTTCATGATGTTTCTCCTTTGCTGGTTAATTTCTTACCTGGTATTGCTTGCTCAATTAATAGTGCATAATTTTTTCTCGTTTGGTGCAGAACCAGATTCAAACTGATTGTTAATTTCATTCATGCAATCACCACAATTGAATCTCAAGGACCACTAATTTGTCAGCGTGATCGAGCTGCTCATCAGTACATAATTTTTTGTCTTGGGGATGCATCTTGCTGACGAGATCCTCTCTCCCTGTACCATGGTCAGTGGTAGAGTAGCTGCTTCGAACCAGTTTGCTATTTGCCTGGGTGGAATTCATCTTTGTTGCTTACAAGTGATCATCTTAATTCCAGGTTTTGTGGAATTTGGAGCCAGGGTGCTTTGGGCTAGGGAGGAGGTACACTAAGCACTGGCCAGAGTTAGAAAAAAACATGGGGCTGTAACCTGAAATAGAGTAAATTGTGAGAAGAAATTTTCTTGCAGTTCATCGTGATTAGTTTCTGTACAGAGCATACACGTGGTGACATGACCCTTGTACAGACACATTCACAGTAAAGTGGGATGCTTCAATCAATTCATTGTAAAATACATACACACAGGATTGCTGGCGTGTGTCGCCCTAGAGTAGCTATGGCTAATTGGTACATCATGCCAATTATCCTTGCAGTTCATCGTGATTAGTTTCTGTACAGAGCTGCTATACTGTCGGTTTTGATATCAATGCACATGATCGACGTTTTTTTCTTACATTACAGAGGGAGATACAGAACGGAATATTCGTTGCATCTTGCAATTATACATCTGCTACAATTTGGTATCAGATATCAGAACAGTTATTTGGGCTAACAAAGTCGTCGGACTCCTGCTTCTGCTGCTACGAACAAAAAAAGTCGTCAGACTCCTGCTTCTGCTGCTACGAACAAAAAGAGGATGTTGTACACTTGTACTCAAACTTTGGTTTGATTCCAAGATTAGGCTAACAAAGCCATGGCTGATAGGGTTTTACATGGGTCTGATCCGCAAGCAACATGCTGCTAATCGCTGTCGCTAGCCCTAAGCTCTAGACGACATGAAGATCTGGTTCGGGGAAGTCGCCGCCGCAAGCTCTTCAGAACACGTCGGGCCCGTGGAACGCCTGGAAGCGGCAGCTGTCGGTGCCGAGCATCCGGGCGGCGAGCGCGTAGTTGGCCGCCTCCAGCTCCGCCACCTTCTTCCTCAGCTCCGCCGCCACACGCTTGGCCTCCTCCTCGCGCGCCTTCGACTCCGCCGCGGCGCGCTGCGCCGCCTCCTCGCGCCGGTGGAGCGCCGCCACCCCGTGCTTGAGCACCCCGTTGTCGCGCTCCAGAGCCTCCTGCCGCCTATGCTGCTCCGCCACGCCGCGCTCCAGCGCCTCCGTTCTCCTCCCGCAGTTCTCCTCCCGCAGTGCCACCGCCGCGCGCTTGGTGACGGCGGCCTCGATCAGCTTCAGGATCGCCGACGCGCGGGCCCTGGCGTCCGCCAAGTCGGCGGCCGCGGACATCTGATCGACAAGAACGCCCGCGCACTCCTCCATGCCGTCGCCGTTGGCGCGCGCCGCCGCGCTGGAGACACGGGACGCCGCCTCCTGCTGCAGATAGGCCGCCGGCGCGGGCGAGAACCGTCCGCGCTTCGCGAGGTGGGGTGGCGCCGGGACCGGCTCGTCGAGAAACGCGCTGGTGCAGCGCTTGCGCGACGCGAAGACGGCCGCCATCGTCTCTGTCTGTGCTCTCTTCTCCGTCTGGACGGTTCGTTTCGCGCCATATTTATGGTGCCGGGACGGGCGTGGCGGTTCCGGGTCCGGGTCCGGGTCCGACTTCGATTCCTGTCCGTTTTCTCCGCAACTGCTGGCGGTTGCTCACTCGGCCGTCTTTAATTACTGTACCCTCCTTTTGCATAAAAAAGAAAAAAAATGCTCCCTCCTTTTTTATACGTATATTATTAGATTTGTTTTAAGTGAAATGTTACTATATTTGACCATTCACTTCGAAAAATCCTGTGAGAAAAGAAATCCTGAGCTGCTGGTTACCTGGAAATGGCTGGATTCAGTTTTGGATCAGAAATTCAGGATTGAGTAAAGTCTAGTCCCAGTCCACACATAACAGGCGTGGTGTCTGAGATTCGTCAAGTCGAGTCCGTCCATGTTGATTGAACAGAAACGGAGAAAGACTAGATTGAACAGAGCGGAGAAAAGGCTATATGGAAGCAGGGAAACCGTGTCCACGGAGATCAGTGATGTCCAAACTACTGTCGCCCTGCAGGTTCAAATTCTACATTCAATACACCTGTATAAGTTTCCAAGAGAATTCGAGCACTAGCATATAGATTCAAACAGTCCGACCATAGTGCCACCCGATTCCTTCTCACCTTACCAAGAACAGCTAAGTACACAGAAAAATGCTTGTTCTTCTCATCTGCATAATCATCTGATCTGGTCTGGTCTGAGATACAAGAATTACATGAAACAAATTTATATATATATAGTAAGAATTCCTTTTCAAAATGGGAAGTACATTGTTTGCCCTATTCCCTCTTCCTCATTACCCGACAGCCGGCAGCATATATGTACACCAAAATGCTCTTCATCTGCTCTCTTACAGTCACAATGGAATTAGCGCCAATAAACCAGCCACTGAATCACCTCTTTACTCCACTCCACGTCAGCGAATCAGGGCGAGTCCAATTAGCACATGGGCCAAGCGGAGGACGCTGAGAAAGATCAGAGATGCTACAATGTCTTCCTCTGCCCAACGAATTTCCGGGCGACGCCAAAGATGAGAGCCTTTGTTAGGAGCCCTTGATCAAGAGTACAGGCCAAAGCAACTGCCCCTCCGAGTACAAGGAACCTTGCCACGTGGTTCCTCGCAGGCTTCTCTTCTGCTTCCACGATTTCTGATTCGTCGCTGTTGGACTCCAATGACCGAACAAAATTGTCGCCGACCTTAGTATTGATTCGGGCCATCAAGGCACTCCGTGATGCTGGCTCCCCGGCAGCCCTGGCTTCCTGATAGGCCCGGAGTCCAGGCTCAATTTTCTTTACACATCCCCACATTCCTTGCCGAATACCAAGCTTTGCAATCTCATATGGGATACCCATGTCCTCATGGTGAAACAAGAGAACCTCACAGGCTGTCAACCCTCCGTTCCCTCTCTTGGATTCCACTGTTCCAACATCAGTTCAAAAGAAAATTCCTAGTTAGAGAAGTGCCACAGAAAGAAAAGGGAATTTTCGGTTATTCAACTTTTATTATTTCCCAACTTCAAGCAAAGTAAGGAAGGAAATGATTACCTGCACGGATGCACCAGCTTGAATAATACAAATCAACTCTTCGAGGTTTGTTACGCCGTGGAATGGATGAGCATGGTATACCCTGCATCACATTACCAATACATCAATGGTTGGGCATGCGCTGATTATATGAGTAGCCCAATAATCTCTATGGTTACATATCAAGTGATCTGATCAATGCAAGTGAAACTAGCCTCAAAACTACTAATTGCTAACAGGATCATTAATAATTTCTTTTACTTTGCATTGATGTAGAAAATATCTAGGATTAGAGAAAGAATAAATGCTCAAAAACAATGTCAATATATTACTAAATAACTAAGCTTCCACTGCAATTTGGACCTAAACAATTTTTCTCTCTTAGGCATACAGCCATTATATATAGGCTCCAACAAGAACCCTGAGGGGAAACCATCACCTGTACTGACTGATAGAATAAAAAAATAGTGATTCATTCATACTATATCAACTAACTGAAAGTTGATGCAGAAAAATAGCAAAATTATTTATATCGACTGAGTGAAGAGTGATGGGTTAGGAAGGGGTAAAAATAAAGCAGCAGAGAAGTATACAGGCAGTCAAGGAAAACAATAGTGAGATACCATTTATTAAGTGAAGGCATAAGAACGGATATTCTAAAATGCAATGAGAGAAAAATTTGGGTGAAATAGAAGATCGAATAGAGATGGAATAATAGGGGAAAAACTTATTATGAAAATATGAACACAGAAGCATAGGAAAAGGAGAATACTGTTTAGCAGTGTACATGATTCTCTAAGAGTGTGAAAAAAAAAGAAAGAGAAACCATAAGAAAGCTCTTGCTGTTTCAGGAATGAATTGGACCAAACTAAAAACATGTGTAGAAATATGAAACGCAGTCAGGGAATTAATTTAAAGATATGCTCTTGTGGCTTCTTTGTATATTTTATTTTTGCCAACGCTTTATGGCTTCTTTGTTGAGATAACAGAGAGTGGAAGAACACATCACGCAAGAAAATATAGCCAGAATTGGCATATTTCTAAGTTCAACATTGATATATCGTTACTTCCCAGCTTCTCCTTGCTGTAACAGGCAGTTGCTATTCAATGGAGGGCTCTTCCCTCCATAGTTTGTTTTCAAAGGAATAATGATGAAAAGGAAGAATTGAGACTTCACAGTCAACAACTCAACATTAACATCAAAACTTCAATGATGTTAAAAGCTTGTCTAAGTGTACGTGGACAGGTGGCCTCAGGTCAGTATCATTAGATACACATAGCCATCATGAAATATCAGGATTCAGAAACAACCACAGAACTTCTAAGCCATATGTCTGTGCCTATTCCAAACTGAGTTAGTTGAGGGGCAACAACATAAATTTTGCCAACAGTCCATATGAAGCGTAAGCTACAACCACTGAACTTCTGAGCCGTACATCTGTGCTATTCCTAACTGAGTTAGTTGAGGGGCAACAACATAAATTGTCAACATTACAGTCCATATGCAGTGCATGCTATAATCAAGAGGCCGCTATGTAACAAAATTCAACCAAGAAAGTATATATTTTTGGATTAGGGGTCAAGCATAAGTCCCATTACCTCCTGGAATCAATCCCCAAATAAGGAAGTGCTACAAAAGAACAACATGCAGTAGTTTTTCAAGTCTATTACTCTATTTTACCTTTGTGACACAATAATAGGCGCCCCCCAGTTTCCATATCCGACGAGCAATTATGTACTCTCTGTCACTGCAGAAGAAGGGGAACTGCAACAACAAGAGCAAGAGATCGAAGCATAAGCTGATTTACATGAAATCAGTCAATCAGCGAGACCTTAAAGCAAATCCTAAGATCCGCTTACCTTCCGGACCCAATGTACTTTCATCGTCCCAGTGGTCTGGCACTCCTCCAGCGTCTTATGATAAATAAGCATATCATCCCACTTGTTGGACATTCGGAACTCGTCGTCCCCGAAGAAGTCCCTCACTTCCTCTGGAGTGGCGTTCTCAAAGATGCTGCTACTCTGATATTGTGGAGGCCCAGTCTAAATTCATCCAAATAAAATTCAATCATTACATGAACATAAAATTAAGTAAAACACGACACTAAGGCTCATGAAAATCCGTTCACCTGGGCATCCCTCCTCCACGCCTGGTAGGTCATGGTGGGCAGCGACTTCTCCATCATTTTGATCCAGGCCGGGCCGCCGTCCCTGCCATCCACCAGCCTCCAGAGGTTCACCAGGTCATCCTTCCCCACAGCCAGCTCCTCGTTCGCCATCTCCGACGACCTGCCAAGCACCACCATTCCGTGATTCCGTCAAAGGTAGCTCCTTTGACACGCCAAATCACCACCAAAGAACTAAGCCTTTGAACACAACCCCGCACCAAGAACCATCCAGCACATTTCTCCGGGCAGCCTGCCAGCACACACAGTTACATACCCTTGCACGGCGTCCTCGTCGTCCTCCCTCTGCTGCACAGCGGCGCCGGCGTAGCCGAGCGGGGCGCGGAGACGGGCGGGAGATGGGCCTTCCAAAAGTCGAGCGTGGCGAAGGGCGGCTGCGCCGGCGCCTGAGCAGCAGCAGCGGCGGCGCTGCCGCCGTCGGCGGTGGCGACGACGAGGCCGGCTGCCCAGCGCGGGCGCCAGGCCCAGCCGAGCAGGAGGCCAAGGAGGGCCGCCGCCCAGAGGGGCCCCGCGAGGAGCGCCATCTCCCAGGCCGCCCCCCACGCTGTGGGCAGCTCCAGCACCCTCGCCACCGCCGACAGCACGTACCCCATCGGAGCCGACCGGCCGGGCAGCGACGGCGTGGGGGGGACGGACGCAGCGGTGCGTGTCGGGGGTGGGTTGGGGGGCGGAAGGAGGAAGGAATGGGGGGGCTTTGCGGCCTATGGCGAGGATTAAAGACTCGATTTTTTTTGGATTTTTTTTTGTTTGTTTGGTTTGGGGAAGGTGTGGTGCACGAGCAGGGATAGAGGTCACTGAGGTGTGGACATGGTGCATGGATTTGCCTCTAGTTTATTTGGATGACTTTGTTTTGTTTGACCCCCTATTTTTTTCTATCTGTTTTCCAAATTCTTTTTTTTTTCTTTGGAGAGTCTTGGGACTTGAGAGTTTAAATAGTCTCTCCCTCTAGTTTATTTGGACTTTGCAGAGTTGTAGGGATGCTAGGTGGTATGGTAAACAAAAGCTAAGGAGATTGGTGGGCATTTGTTTATTGGTTAGGACTAAGGAGTTTTACAATTATTTTAAAGGTGTGGGTTGCTCCTTTGGTGTTCTAACTCAGGTACTGTAGACTAATAGTGTGCTTCGGCCCGTTCGGCTGATCTGCTTTTGGATGATTTCGGATGATTCAATAGTATTCTGTGAGAGAGAATAAGCTGAAACAAGAAGAGGACTGATCAGCCGAACGGGCCGAATTGTGTGCTTAGCACATCATCTCATTAGATGTTGGTTGTGAAGTCGCTTTCGTAAGAATTCCATGTTCCCACGCTCTTCCTTAAAGGTGCAAAAGACACAGAGCTAAAGGAATATGCTATGGCTCTGGCCTCTGGGCTTGCCAAAACTACAAAAAGGGCCATGTATTGGGATAAACAAAACAATGGCATATTGAAAGATCATTAGTCCCTAGTAATATATATATGCCGTTTGATTAGGTGTGGAAAGGAAAATTTTCACATACTAATATTTGCTCTAAATTCTATCAATCCTAGGTGTAGGACCCCAACAATTAACACAAGAAACATACCCCTCCGTCTCCGAATAAATCAACTTCTAGAGTTGTACTAAGCAAAGTTTTGTAAGTTTGACTAATTTTATAGAAAAGAACATTAATCTCCGTGACACTATGTTATAGACTTAGTCAAACTTATAAAATTTTAACCTAGCAAAACTATAGAAATTGATTTATTCAGGAACCGAGGTAGCATTGTACAGTGGGGAGTGTTGTTCAAGCATGCAAGAACTTTTTATTTTGTTGTTTTGGTGGGTGGGTCAACTCGGTAAACCCTTCTTGTGCGCCTACATCATTTTGACGGTTAATTGACTAATCAATTCCTAGTGTACGTAATCTCTCTTTCTATTCCCCTTCTCTCCCATATTGGATATATATAGTTCATGGGATATAATAAAACCAAAAATATATAATGTGAGAAAGGGGGAAAAACACTCTTTTATTTTCTTCTTTTTGAAAGGGGCACTCTTTTCGTTTGGCCGTGCGCGCGCGCCTATGGACCGGGCGCATGCAGTGCAGCGACATGGGGTGGGTGGCTGCCCTTCGCTGCGTCCCAGCCCCAAAGCGATAAGGGGATTTGGGGGCTGAGGCTGCTGGTGGCGCGCGTCGATTCCTGTGGGGGCCCAAATCTCCCCTCCGTCCAACGCCGCGCCGCCACGTCCTGCCCTGGCTACAGTGCGACGCTGCTAGAGTTTTGCGTCGCTGTTGTCGTTCTTGGTTGAGGTTCCCCAAGCTGCTACAGTGCGACTACTATATTTTTCCCTGTCAAAAAAAAGCCTGCAATTTTTTTGTGTTTTTTTCCTTGTGCCTACCACTATTTTTTGGTGTTGGTACTTCTCCAACACGTACAATTCCCTTGCTGCACGAGTTGACACGTGGCAGGTAGTTATCCAAGCACATCTAGCGTGGTCAATGGCCTTCCTTCCAGTGTGATATGTCAAACAGGTTTTTACAGGCTGGAGAGGTTGACGGTTGACCCTGTTTCTTCTTTCTGCGGTTCTGCTCTGCACATGCACGTACTCCTAGCTGTACCTGTCAGTAACAGTTCCTTTTGGATAATTACGGTAGCAGTAGTTAACCAAGCACTTAAACACCAGTTAGGATTTTTCCCCCAGACAATCTTTATTTACTGGTACCTATTACTCTCCCTCGCAAATACAAGCGAATCTTGTTTGTTTTTTTAAATCATAATGTAGACGCATAACGGTAAAGATTGAAACCGAGTTCGCACGTCTTAAGAGTCCCTTGTTTGTCAAGAGGCGCACCGTCTACCATTGAAAGAATAATGTCATTAGTCCTAAAATAAGTCTAAGAAAAATGTAAGCATCCGCGCACGCCAACTCTAGAATTTAAACTCAGGTGAGCAGGTTCCAAAAAATAATATACAGAGCATAATCTTGGTTTCTCACAGTCCATTTTTTAGTAGATTTCAGCCTTTGACTATCAGCTAAAATAATATACAGAGCCAAATATTCCAACGAATTTTATCTTTATAGAAAGTTGGTGCTAGAATTTTTTTTTTGATAACATACTCGAATGTCATCTCAGCTCCATATATAGTGCATGAGATCCTCTACGGGTACCTTTGCTTCCCCACCGCTCGAGATGGATTCGCATACTGCGACACATTGGAAGGCCCGCGGCCTCTCCTTTTGCCAAAGGACAACAAGTACATGAGTGTAGTGGCTGTGTACTTCCGCCCCTGGCACTCATTTTTTTCTTATTTTTATTAGTCTTTCCAACGGATAGTAATAATATGTATTCATACATAACGGCAGAAAATGACAATACTTTCTCCCCTTTGGAAAATTTCTAAACATCGTTACTACTACGTATTCTCTCCGTCCCTAAAAGAATGCAATTTTGAAACCGTATCATGTTTTAGTATATCAAGTTTGACCAATTATATATAAAAATATATAAATATTTATAATATAAAACAAATATCATTAGACTAATTACGAAATATATTTTTATAATAAATTAATTTGGAGCAGTGAATGTGAATATTATTTACTAGAAACATGGTCAAATGTGAGAGTACTTTAATTGGCACGCAACCTATAGTTGCATCCTTTTAGGGACAGAGGTAGTATATACAACAAGTGAGATAGAGACAGAATACACGACACAGTAAGATTGTTCAGGATCTAACAATGCTTTTCTTTTAGGTGATAGACAACGTTTCCATCCATGGTGAGAATTTCTCAATCTTAAAATCAGTCGACCCAATCATTGGAAGGTACTCTTAAGGGTAAGAATGATGTGTGCGTGTGTTCATATATACTATAATACCAATATGTACGTGCATATACGTGTGGGCGCTGTGTTTTGAAGAAAAAAAAAATCGAATTGGAGGACCTTAGGTAAGGTGCAAACAAAAAAAACATAGAAACATAGACTCGGTTGACTAGGGTAGTAGAATCAGACCCCTTAACTAAAATCGTATGGTGAAATCGTAGATTTTAACAAGAGAGGTGCCTGTCATAATAAAGGTTGCATTTGTCAAGGGTTCTAAACGTAAGAAACATCTTTAATTAATTAACAAAGCTGCTGGCCTCATTAACTAACTTTTGACAAGTTGCAACTATCCTTTGAAATAAAAACAAATTTATCGTTATATTGACAAGAAGTTGGTGAGACGCGGATCTGCTACATATGGGATGGATGCATGTCTCAGGTCAAGGGACAGCTGCAAAGCTTCGCTGGCTGGCTGGCTGGCCGGCGCTGGCTACTAGCTCTCTCTGTCTCGATCTCTTCATCATCTCCACCTTCTTAAACTTAAAACTCCTCATCTGTGCGGCCGTGTGTTAAACGTTGCATTGACATGATACTGACGAGCACTAATAAAGCAAGCAAGCTTTTGGACCACCACCGTCTCCACTAACTAATGCATGCTTGCTTTATTTTAACCGAAAGCAGCATGTGAGACATGCCTCCAATTCCATGATCGTACGCTTAGCAGCTAGCTATAGTCAACCAAATAAAAGTGACAATGTGAAACCATTGGCTTCTCTTCACAGTTCACACTGACGAAACAGCTACTCCGTACCACGTAGAATTGTTAACATATTTTCTAAACGAACACGCACACACAATTACCTCTTTGAACATTTTTAAGATACTCCTACTAATTAAGCTAGGCACGCACCTCACTGTCGATAGATGTATGTTTTAAAAAAATTTATCTGAAATACGAGCACAGTCATAGCCTGAAACTCAGTAGGCCCTACGAGTACATGCTACAACAAACCCATCTTATCAGCTCTCTCTCTCTCTCTCTCTCTCTCTCTCTCTCTCTCTTAAAAAAAGCTCTTACGGAAAATAATCATCATTGCTCCAAGTTTAACTAGGCATGCAGAGTATATATGATCGTTTTTATATACCCTTTTTTTTTGTCCGACGTCGTCGTTGATCATGCAATCTCTTCTAACTATCTTATCTTTTATTCGAAAGGATGGCATCAACTTTGCCGTAATTTTCATTAGACGAGAGAAATTAGAAGACACACCATCCAACCACCATATCTTCATCGGGAACAAACCAACGACAATACAACACATATCTTTCCCCTAAATACGCAATTTCTTTGTTTCTTTGCCTTTTTCCCCTTTGTTCACGGAAACATCATGATTTGTTGGGAAACAGCAATTTCTTTGTAGCTATTTTATATGCATACATATAAGAGTTGAGTGGTGACAACTAATGCATGCACTTTCTTTCTCGAAAGAAATTAAAATCACACACAGGTAGTATATAAAATATATTGCACACGTAGCTTTCAATGATAACCACTCATCGATCATGATTAACTACACACATGCGTACAAATCTGAGGTATCGTCGTCTTCTGCTTCCCAGAGATGCTACTCCTGCATACATATCTGAAACTGAAAGCATATATACACCAGCCGATCTTTATCCACTATGGCGATCTTATACCAATTGTTATATGCATAGAGGTTGGATGTTAAGTTGCTAACTAGCTAGCCCGAATTATTCACATTTGCCTGTACTATTATATTTGAGTCCATAATTCGATGCAAC